TGTCTTTGTGTTACTATTACTCTGTTCTGACTCCCGTGACTCTCCTGGTATTCTGATTCGGCTTGTGACTTGACTATTCTTTGTATTCTCCTTTGATCTGACCCTCTGTTGCTGAACCCGGCTTGTGACCTGTGATTCTCGTCTGCTGTCCTGTACTGTTTTATCCTGTTGTTGTTGACCCCGGCTTGTCTGACTACTCTTTTGTTTCTTCCACCAGCTACAACGCCATTGGCGGCGGCCATTACCGCAGCTGAGGTGTCTCGGGGGCCGCGACCTGGTTCCTGGCTGCGTCAAGTCCATCCCCACCATCAGGGGCCCTGGTGAAGGGCAGCCTGGGACTTAGACTCTCGCGCCCTGAGGGACTTCGGTCTGTGGGTGGTGGTTGTCGTCAGCCAGTGCGTTACATTGTTAGGCCTGCCTGTCCATTCCTCGGCTCCTGCCCTGACAGTAAGAAACTCATTGATGGTTACAGGAAGCCATTGATTTCAGTTTCCAAGGGGTGTACTACCAAATATTAAATTAAGGGAGCCAATAATTTTGTCTAGTCCATGTTGGGGTTTTGCGTGGAATGTGTCAGATTTGGCTTTTTTTGTTTCTCCCACTTTTTTGTGTCATACCAAAATAAACAAAAGAAATAAACATGAGAATGCCTAAACATTTGTAATTGCAACAGTTTTCTAGGTGAAGTGGTGCATTATCTGACAGAAATGCAGGGGTGCCAGTATTTTTGGCCATGACTGTATCTGTGCCCGTGGAACCTTTTATGTGGGAAAATCAACAAAAAGTTCACCATGCTTATGATATAAGATCGTTAAAATCTGTGTTCACCTTAAGCCAATCACTTTTTTCAAACATAATAGTCAAGAACATTTCTTAAGATCTTGGATAATAGATGTAAGATAAAAGAGAGACTATATCTTCTTGCCCATACTGGATGGGATGCAGGGGCAAGCAGATATACTGACAAGTCTGCAGGAGACTTGCATGGCACCAGCGATCTGCTGATCGCTGGTGCAATGCTTTACAGGCCTCTGCAACAAAAAATAATACATTGTTCTACCTTAATTCACCCAGCGCTGTGCCCAGCTGCAGTTCTTCTCTCTCCTCTCCCTCTACTCACAGGAACTGAGGCAGCAGTGGGCACCATTAGCTCCTACTGCTGTAAATGCTTTGATGAAGGAGTGGGGAGCAGGGTTGAAGTGCACTCTATGTTCATAGACACACACAGTCCAGCTTGAGATCGAGCCTGCACATTTGCCCCCATAGCAAGCAGCTAGCTCTAGTGGCAGACACAAAACAGGAGGAACCAAGATTGCAGCCCAGAAACCACTGAAGAGGGGTTTGGGGCTGCTCTGTGCAATACTTTTACACAGAGCAGGTAAGTATAACATGTTTTTTATTAGAATTGTTATAAAAAAAAATGTGCCTTCAGAAATGTTTAAAAGCCCAACTCCAGGAATAGACAATATCAATCCTTGCAGTGGGGGCCCTCCATACTGGAACAAGTTGTATTACACGCTCCTCTCCCAAAAGTTCTGGTCTGTGGGTGTTCCCTCTGTGTCATCACATACAATGCAGGGCTATTAACCTTTCATTGTACATAGAGGAAGCTCCTTAGAGGCAAGGCTTTACGGGGCCAGTCACGCTTCTTCCTGCACTCCTAGACTGAACAAGCATTTAACCCTTTCAGCATGGAGGGACCTCAGTGCAAGGTTATTTTTTTTTGTTATTTTTTTGTTTTGTGCCTGGAGGTTGCCATATACACATTATCCACTGGTCACAGATACAGCCCTGGGGGTCATGGAACAGGGTGATGATTTCTTTGGCAGACACTTCACCCTATGGCTTCTTTTATTACACGATTACTGATGGGCCACCTGTTCGGTTCGCGGTTGAACATTTGAAGCTAACAAAAGTTCGACCGCAAACTTCGAACATAATGCAAATCTATGGGAATTGAACTTGTACATTCAAAAGTGCCCATTTTGAAGGCTTATATGCAAGTTATAGGCCATGAAAGGGGTAAGGGGACTTGGGTTAGTTCCCTGAGGGACATAAATCAGTGAAAATTTTTTTTTAAATAGTACTGTTTTTAAAGGGGCAGTCATTTTTCATTGCTTAACCTCCTTGGCGGTATTCCCGAGTGTAGCTCGGGGTAACATTTCAGTACCAAGAGCGGTAACCCCGAGCTACACTCGGGAATACCATGCAGCACTGCTCCGGCATTTGTTCTTCACTTACCTTACCCTGCGCTCCCCGCGATGTGTCCCCTGCAGCGTCCCCGGCCATCTCCTTCGGCCGATGCCGGCATCCGGCTTCTGTGTCCTGTCCCTGTGACGTCGGGACGTACGGGCGCCGCCGCCGCTGGCGGCGTGAAATTTAAAAATTTTAAAAAATGTCATTTTTTTTTTTTTTTTACATTTTACATAGTAAAACATTGCTGTCTCAACCAATTTCACATACATTTTGTCCCTACTGCTTTGTCCTGTGCCCTGCCTGCATTTTGTCTGTTCTTTCTGCCTGGAAACTGAGAAACGTCCATGGCGTCCAAAAAGTGTCCCTTTAGGTCAAAAGCGGTTTAGATCAGCTAGAGAACAGCGATAGTAAATCAGAACCACTTGCAGAATTGAGTGATAATGATTCGTGGGGGAAATTCGTCATCAGACACTGAAAACGATTTTGCGACTGAGCTTAGCAATGTGCGAACTTGGCGCTATATTTCAAATTTCAGTGTTTTTTGGCATGATTATATTATTGAATTAAATGTATTATTATTATATTATTATTTTTTAAGAGTATTTATTAAATTATAATTTATGATTTCGTGTTTCAAATTTTATCCTACCTGGAATGTTTACTAGACTCTTGTTCGAACAGATTTCAGTGAGTTATTCCTAAAAATTACAGCCTACAATAAAAAAACTACATATTTCCATGCAAAAAAATGGTACCGCTTTCAGCACACAAAAATCGGAAAGAATCATACCGCCAAGGAGGTTAAAATAAAAAAAAAAAAAAAAATTCCTTTAATCGCTTCTTGACCGCCCTAAAGCAGAAATATTGCTACAGGGTGGCACAGGTGTACAAAATCACGTATATACGTGATTCGCACTCCCTAGGTTTTTGCGGGCTGGGGGGCATGAGCTGAAGGTGCCGTGATTTGATCCCCAAGGTATCAATAATCCGATTTAGGCCAGTGATGTTTGCCCTAAATCGGATGATCGATCCCTGTCCTATCAGGGATCTTCCTGTACCTGTCTTTACATTACACAGGTACAGGAAATTATGAAATCTTCTCTGTGGGCACATTCCATCCCAGAGAGAGAAGAAAGAAGACACAGTGAGTAAAAGCAGCACACTTGCACATAGTTAGAACACTTTAGGACACATTTAGCCCCTTGATTTCCCCCCCCAGTTAACCCCATCACTGCCCTATCACCAGTGTCATTAGTACAGTGTACAGATTTTTTGTTGATCACTGTATTAGTGTCGCCGGCAACTTCAGATGGCATTAGCGTCAGTTAGCGTCCCTCCCAGATTGCCCATCAGTACACCAATAATCACATTTAACCCATTGATTGCCAGGAACACGCTCACATACACAATAAACCTCCATTTCTAGTATAGTGTCTGAACGGATTAATATATTTCATCAGATCAGCACTATACCAGTGTTCACATTAGTATAGTGTCCCCAAAAATGCAAAGTTAGTGGGATCAGCCCCGGAACCTGCCAGCACCTGCGTTTAGCCCCTACACTTACCCCCCCTCTCCCCCAGCAAGTGCAGTGTCAGTAGATCACTTGATACATTGGACACAAAACCGCAGTGTTCGCAGAATCAGGCCTGATCTCTGTTAGCACTTGCTGGTAAATATTTTTGTAGCGATTCAAGCAGTCCCTGACAGCCAGGTGCTCTTTTTCCCGTAAGTCGCACTAGGTACTTATAAATTTAGTGGCCAAAATGGCAATTGAAAGGTACTCTAGTGAAGAGGCCTACAGGATTCTGGGCATGAGAGCGACTGGGAAGACTCACTGACACAAAATACGAACCTGTAGACAGCAGCGGCAAAGAAGCAAACAGAGGGCGCACTGGCCTCGTGCATTACCTAAATGACATTTATTGATAAAATTAGCAGATACTATCTGCCACACATCACTCACTCTTCTAACCACCTGAAGACCAAGCCTATTCTGACACTTTTTGTTCACATGAATAAAATCAGTATTTTTTGCTAGGAAATTAATTTAAACCCCCAAATATTATATACTATTTTAAAGCAGCCACCCTAGTGAATAAAATGGTGGGTGCTACAATTTTTTATGTTACATAGTACTTGTGCAGCGATTTTTCAAACGCAAATTTAAAAAAAAAAAAAACACTTTTTTTACTTTTAATGCACAAAAACACAATATATTGGCCAATTATTTGGTAAGATATAAAAGATGATGGTATGCCAAGTAAATAGGTACCAAACATGACATGATTTAAAAAACTGCGCATGCCCCGTGCAATGGCGACAAACTGCATACATTTTTAATATCCATGGGCAACGTTTAAAAGCCTTTACAAGCTACCATTTTAGATTTACAGAGGAGGTCTAGTGTTAGAATTACTGCCCTTGATTTGACGTTCACAGCGATACCTCACATGCATGGCGCAACCGCAAATGGCTCTGTTTATATCCTGTGATATATATACGTGATTTTGCACAACGATGCCGCCCTTCCTGCAGTAAATGTACTGTGGCTGGTCGGCAACCGGTTAATGTCAGCACTGGTTTATGTTCTGCTGTCAGCAGGGAATCCCGCTGACAGCAGATGTGTCATGGTTGTTAAGTGTTAAGGATGGGCAGTAGTCCGCCCCGCTCCTTAACATCCAGCTATTCTTCACAATGAATTTTAATGGATTCAATATTTTAGATTCAAATTCAATTTGAATATTTCAAATCAATTGGAAAAATGTTACAATTTGGTAAAAAACAACCAAACGAAATGAATTTCATTGCAAATGCTACTAGACAAAATTAGTAGCAAAAAGAAACAAATTTCTGCACGTCTAGAAGGAGGCACAGCACTGAGTTCAGAAAAGAGTGGAGTCTAATTGATGTCTGATTGCCATTGTTGTCTGTTATTATTAAAGTGTTACTAAACCCAGGACCCTGCATTCACTATATCTGGTCTCCCACAGTACATAGAACATGGAAATGCAATTATTTTAGTAAATAAAAACTGCTAAATATCTTATCTCATCAGCAGTTAGATCAGTCTTGTGACTTCTATCAGTGTTCAGCAGAGCACTGGTTAAGGCTTGCAGAATGAGTTTTCTTTCTTCTCTAGGAGGATGCAGAACTCCTGACCTCTGTCTGGGCAGTGCTGATTGGCCCTGTGCTGATCACATATACTCCCCCAAGAAAAAAAAACAACCTCTCTAGCAATACACACCAAACTGAGCATGTGCAGAGTGTCTCCACATGATATGTCTTATCAGGAGATAAAAGGAGGACACTGGAAGGAGGGGAGGATCTGAGAAGTCAGGATCAAACATAATTTTTACACAATGCAGAGGATTAACCCCTTAGGTCCCACAGTGAGTATAACAAGCATGCTTTACTGCATATGCAGACTGATTTTACTGTTGTGGCTTCAGTAACTTTTTAGGGTGTGTGTTGCATTTCTTTATGGCCACCTGTACTTTGCCTTTAGGCAAGAAACGTTCTCAGGTATACATCTCTAGCCTGGGAAAATATTTTCAGCAGACAGGTTATTGTAAATGAATATAAATCATACAGGGAAAATCAGTGCTGGAGGGCTATAATGTTCTGAATTCATTATGATCAGATGAATGAGTGACTACCTGCCTGCCAATAGAGAAATTTGTATTTACACATCGTACTTGTTGTTTCTGAAAAATGTAATAATGCCTGGAATTCACTACATGTCCAGATAAGATTTCCAATACAACTTCAGTACATAGAGCCTGCATCATGAGAAAACACTGAAATATAACAGGTGTACAGTCAAGTATTCCCCAAGCTTATTTTATCTGTTCAAAATGAATTCCTAGCAGATATGAATAATCTACAGCCTGTCAGTGATAAAAAGCCATTGGCTCCTGCTGTCAACCACACCTAGTGAGCCAATAAGGAAAGGGGACTGAGCTGCAGCTCTGTGTGTGAATGGACACGCAGAGCAGTGGCTCAGGAGCAAACCTGTTTGGGTGCCCCATAGCAAGCTCTTTGCTCTGGGGGCACTCTGCAGGAGGGAATGGCCAGGAGCGCCAGTGGGACCTGAGAAGAGGAGGATTGGGGCTGCTCTGTGGAAAACCACTGTACAGAGTAGTTAAGTATAACATGTTTGTTATTTTTTGGGATATGGCGCTTCATCACTGTAGCTGACAATTGTGTAGTCATGAGACACTGTACATAAATGAAATGTATGTCCTTTTTTCCCCACAAATTAAGGTTTTTTTGGTGGTATTTGATCACCTGTGCTTTTTTTATTTTTTCTGCGCTATAAGCCAAAAAAAGTGACAATTTTGAACACCCCCCCAATATTTTTGACTTTTTGCTATAAAACATATCCAGTAAAAAAAAATTTTAAATAAAATTTCTTCATAATTTAGGCCAAAATGTATTCTGCTACATGTCGTTGCTAAAAAAAATACTTGGTTTACATAAAAGTTATAGCATCTACAAATGGTGGTATACATACTGAAATTTTTGTATACTAGTAATGGCGGCAATCAGCGACTTATAGCGGGACTGTGCTGGGCATTCTGACACTGGGGGGAACTGACTAACTGTCACTGACATCCCCAGTGACACTAATACAGTGATAAGTGCTAATAAAAAGAGTGTACTAATGGCACTGGGCAGGAAGGGGTTAACATCTGGGGCGATCAAAGGGTTAGCTGTGTGCTGTGAGTGTTTTACTTGGGAAACATACTACTGTGTATTTCTATGCTGTGCAGAGAAGTACACAGCAGCATGTTATTGCTGGCAGGAGAGAAACCTGTGTTGTTTACACACAGGTCTCTCCCCTGTTAGTGATACTCGGTGATCACTGGGTGCCGGTCGAGAATCTCTGGGGACCCGGGACCCGGTGATCAACATCTGAAGCCGCCAATGGCGGCACAGGTAGGGTGGCGTGTGCCCCCTACCCAAACATGCGAAATCACATAAATATACGTGATTTGGCGCAAACCCTGCCGCTCTGTAACAGTAGTTCTACTTAGGGCGGTAGGGAAGCGGTTATTATATCATCATTCTTCCATGTGCATATAAAAATGAATGCACATTGAATGCAGATTCATTGCCATTCGTTTCTATGTCCATTTGGAAATTCGGATGCATGCAAATCTCCA